GTGTGCTTTGTGCATTTCAATAGTACTCTTTCGCAAAATAAAATATTATAATTTTTTAAAAGATAATTTATTTATTTATTAGACAGAGAGAGAGATCACAAGTAGGCAGAGAGGCAGGCAGAGAGAGAGGGAGGGGGAAGCAGGCTCCCCGCCAAGCAGAGAGCCAGACTCGGGACTCGTTCCCAGGACCCCGAGACCATGACCCAAACCGAAGGCAGCGGCCCAACCCACTGAGCCACCCAGGTGCCCCCACAAAATAAAATATTAAAAAATAAACTCAATTCCACTCTATCATTTTTCTCAGATTTTTAAAAAATTCAGTTCCTCATTACCCTGTCAGCTGGATTTGCTAAAAGGACATAGATTTTATCACACTGCAAAACATGTTGACCTAGAACTACTTGATTAGGTTAAGAGAAATTTTAAAGCCAACTATCTTATATATATTCTGCTCTGTTTATTGAAATTACGATCTTATCAAAAAGCCTAACTATTGTCTAGTCAGAATGATGGATTTCTCAGCACGAAAACAGCTCTGATAACGATTCTGGTCAAACAGGCACTTCAAGAAATATACTGTAATCAGTTAATGGAAGAACATTCTTCCTATTTTTATTCCTAATCAGAGAACACCATTCAGGAGCCTGTGATTAGGTAGGGTTCTGGCCTAAAACAGTGTGATTGAGTACACTTATAACCTCATTTGGCGTTATCAAGTGGCTCTCTACTGACCTAGGACTTATGTTCTAAGGCTATGGAAAAATACCAAATGGGCTTACACTGTGATTTAAAGAGAAACACAAAGAGGTATTCCCATTCCTCATCCAGCCACCAGCTGTTGCCTCTGTCGCTACCAGCTCTGGATTCTTCTTTAAACTGAGAGCAGACTTAAAGTACTAATGCAGGGAAACTGTCCGTATCTATTTCCAGTTATGGCTCAGGAAATTAAGTGGTGACTTTAGAAGTCTTCCCAACAGTTTCTCCCATTCTACAGAAAGGAAGAATGAAAACTTTCCTAAGCCAAATGGGTAAAACTATTTTATTGACTCATCTATACTTAAATACAACTCCCATCTAACCCTTAAATAATTTTTTATTCAATCTCTTTCTCAACTGAATTCCACTTCACAGATTCATTTTCATTTTTTGAACAAAGTTTCAACCAAGTGCCTAGTATGTGTCAGGCAAAAAAGGACAAGGTGGGGGGTGGGGGGAGGCCTTGAATACCTCCTTGTACTTCAGTTCCACAGGCAAGTGGTTCTCAACATGAAGGCAAAGAACTTTCAAAGGGCTGCAGCGGAGTACCTACAAGTCTGTGGAGCCTTAGGCTCATCAATATGCAGACCAAGAATTATATTCGCAATGAATTATACTCACTACCAAAGTATTACAACTTTAAAGACTCATACAGGTACTGTCATGTATTTTTTTTTTTTAAATACACAGTATCCAGGAGTGATAGTAAAATGTTTCATAAATGGTCAAGCATGAGCTCCAACCACTAAAATGAACAGCTGGCCCTCAACAGCCCGAAGGACAGATCAGCTCCCACCCACTGATGATCAGAGCAGCCAACCCAGGCATGAGGGGATGATTTTTCCTCTTGTTCCTGCTTTCCTTTTTTCATGCTAAAGGGAGATTCTCATGGGGGGGGGGGGGGGGGTTATTATTCTAAGAAAAATAGTTGGCTTGGATGTAACACCATATTGTAGTGATTAAATCGCAAGAAATCCCAATACATTTAGAGGTTACGTTTTTGTTGGTGCTTTGTTTTTCATCATCTTTAACAGATTCTTTCCCCACTTTCCCACGAATCACTACAATTGGCTAACTCTTAGCAGATGTTCCAAAGGTTGTAAACCCTACTTCCTGAGAAAGTCTGTGTTTGTTAATACTCTATTTATAGTAAGAGAGGCAAGTCTCAGGTTTGTGCCCTCAACGCACTTAAACCAGTTAGCACTCTGCTAACATTACCCTAGAACGTGTCTGCAATTGGAAGCACTGTGTTAGAGCAGAAGAACGGACAAGACTTCTTCCCCAGTGAAAGAAGAAAACAGGCTGCACTGGCAGAGCTACCTTTTACTTTAGCCCAAGGAGTAACTCAAGTTCTCTGTCTCAGCTTAGTAAAGTGAGTTATTCACATTAATAAATCTAGCACATTCTAACTTTACAATGGTCCAACTTTATAATGGTCCAACTTACCATCTTGGGCTTTACGAGGGTGTGAAAGCTATACACATTCAGTAAGAATCAGAATTTGACTACTGTTATTTTCCTGGGTTAGCACTATGCAGTAGGACACTCTCTTGTGGCTCTGGGCCAATCAGGAGCGAATCAGTCAGCCCCATGATCCCAAGACCCAAGTGCAGGGCTTGAACTCAGGACCCTGAGATCAAGACTCAAGTGGAGATCAAGAGTTGGACACTTAACCGACTTGAGCCACCCAGATGCCCAGTGCTGTCACTTCTAGTTATCTTAAACTAAAAATCAAAATCCTGAGGGTCTGATTAGAAGAAGCTTCAGATACCAAATCACTGAAAATACAAATGCATTTCCAACAAAACTAACCTTAAAAAAGGCAAACCACTTGTAGTCGTTCAACACAATCTCAAAGCCTTGATTGTAAATGATGGTGAAATGGCCGGTATTGCCGAGATCATCACGTACTGTGTCCAACTTCTCAAGATGAACCACTACTTTTTTTTCTGGTTGTCCTAAAAAAAAAAAAAAAATTCACAACACAGGAAAATTATTTGGACTTCAACAAATGGGAGGGGAAATCTCCTCTATAATTTCCATTATTTTTAAGCAGCTTTCCTTTCATGCTACTGGATTTGGACCAGTCTAGCTTGTGAAGATACCAGTCTCCATCCTGTTGCTTCCCTCTGCACACTCCCACAGGGGTCTGAGGCAAGCCTGTGAAATGAGGGCTCAACAGAGCTGTCAAGTAGCCGACCAGGCAGAGACCCCAGAAAGTACAGTCCTTACCTTCCCAGAACATCCAAACACTGAAGAAATTTGTCTACTAAGGAAAAGGAGAAATAAGGGATGTTTAAAATGATAACACAGAAATGGATTGAATACAGGATGCCTATCAAAAAAAAAAAAAAAAGGAAATATAAAAGGATCTGCTATCAGATTATAAATACAAAGGAAATTATCTCTTCAGAGAAGAAAAGGGGTCTCTTTCAACTCAATGGCCTCTGGTTCAGAACCTCAGAATCTGAATCCTTCTACGGTATTCAGCAAACGCAAGGTTTCTATCTTATAAAGATATTTTGTGCTGACAGGAACTAAGCTTTCAACTTTCAGAAGATGGGGGTGTAGATCTGTGCGCGTCTTTACTAGATTAAAGTCAAAGGTCTGACTTACAGACACAGGCTGCCTGAAAGGGTTCTGCTCTGTCCATCTGGAGGTTTCACACTTTGGACGGTTTTTCCAAGTTTCAGATTAATGCTTTGAAATAGGAGATTGCATGTGACCAAATAGCGCCAATCCTGATCTCCCTCTCCTTTGGACCTCCACATTACACATTTAAAACAGAAGGTTTGGAATGCCCAGGATTAGGAAATGCCACACAATCATCTGGAGTTGGACCATTGAACAGGTCTGTTTTAGTAACAAATGACCTGGCAATCATCCTTCTGCTGACAAGGAAATCACAGAAGACAGATTCACTTACTCTGCACATACCACAGGGTGGTAAGGGTTTGCGTAGAACAAGAGTGCCTCTTCTGAACGGGAGATAGCTTTTTTCCTTCTCCCTTCACTAAATTCTTCATCCTCTGTGTAGCTACGTTATCTGAGGGCATGTGGAGTATCCCAGTGGTGTTCTAACACTAGGTATTTATTGACAGCTTTCCACCGGCCAGACATTGTGCTTGTCTCTGGGCATTCCCAAACATAATTACAGACTAAAGAGTTATTTCCAAAAAAAGAACGGAAACAAAGAAACAGGGAGTGTTGGGGGGCAACTTTTATATATCTCCCTGCAATACATGAAACAATGTAGCATCATACCAAAAGTTTTCTTGGACTAGCAGCATCAACACACGTGTAAATCAAAAACACTGGGCATAAGGGCTCTTTCCCACAAACTAAGAAAAGGGAAAAAAAAACACCAAAAAAACCCCCAAAAAACAACAACAAAACCTTTTCTTGCTATGCTTTCCAGTGTTTGAGCTCATTTTCCATGGGCAAAATTTTTAAAAATTCAGATTGGACAGGGAGATCATTAGACTACACTGTCTCAACTCTCTTCCAAACTAAAAAGACGGGAAAAAAAAAAAAAAAACCACCAAAAACAAACAAACAACAACAAAAAAAAAACCCCAAGGGGAATGGAAAGTTCCTGAAGAAAGTGTTTAGGTCCGGTAACAACCAAAGAAACGTGAAATGAGAAGTTCTTAGCTGCTGAACTTAGCCTTCTTGGTCCTGGAGCGGGAAAGGGCACCCCAAGGGGCTTTAGGTCACCTGGCTTCCCACTGGCACCGGCCCCGGGTGGGGGCGCTCCATGTGAGCGCTGCGGAAAGAAGAGCTCGGGGACGGAAAGGAAGGAGTCCCGGGCTAAAGCGGGTAGGGTGGGAGTCCGGGGGCGCCGGCGGCTTACCCATAAGCAAGCAGTTGACGTTGCGCTGGGAACCAACGGGGCCCACCTGGAAGACCCACGTGCCCAGCAGCTCAGGGTAGGTGCAGTTGGCAGGTGTATCGCCGTGTGCGGTACCGACGCCGCAGAGGACCAGGAGGAGGGCGGCCAGCAGTGAGCGGGGACAGGGACCCATGCTGGCGGGGCTCTGGAGGGGAAAAGACGAGACAGACAGCGGACCGCCGAGAGCGAGGCGATCCGGACAGCGTGTGCCTTAAAATAACCAGAGCTGCCGGAAACCCGCGGCCGGCGGGGGCGGGGTCTGGGGAGCCGGGGGCGGGGGGGAGGGGCGCTCGGGAGCAGTCCCGCCCGCAGGTGAGGCCTCCGGAGTATGCGCTCCTCGGTACCGGGCTGCCGCTGGACCTTGAGCCCGGGGAGAAGAGAGGCACACGTTCTATGACCATGGGACGTCTCAAAATAGGACCTAAGAGCCACAGTGACTTTGCTTCTTGAAAAGTAACTGGGCGGGGGGAGGGGTACGTGGAGAAAAAGAGAGAATGTGTGCGGGCGGGAGGCGACCAAAATCAGAAAGAGGTCCTCGGAGGGAGACTGAAGAAGGTAAGGATAGGGATGCAGGAGGGAATAAACGGAAGGTGGGAAACCTTCCCAGATAGGGAGAGATCTAATAAGTGGGGTTTTCTTTTACTTGCTTTTCTTCTCCACTTAGTCCTCAACCAACTCAGTTTTTTTCCCCTTCCTCGGAAAAATTTTATTCGCTACCCCCAGTCACCCTAGCTGTTTGAGAGCTGCTCTTCCTTCCGTTTTCCAACAAAACTTTCACAACCTTTTTTTTTGTTTGGTTTTGTCTAGTTTCCTGTTAATGTTATTTATTACCCACAAGAGAATTCATTTGTCGTGCAAAGTTGCAGTTTTTGAGTATTCGGTTTTTTCCCCGCCTGCAAACTTTATAGGATTTGGTTAACACATAAAAGCACACACATGCACAAAAGATGTCAGATCATGTGACTCAACCCCTTCTTCTCTAACGATGAGGCGCAGAGAGAGGAAGTAACTTGCCCAGAGTGAGGAAGGAAGCTGGTGGGAGAAAGCTGCTCTTACCAGCAGGTTCCAGTGTGCCAGTCTGACTGCCAATAATTATTAGGTAGCACTGTTTCCAAGTGCCTCTTTGCTTAGTTTAAATATCACCCTTTTCTGTAAGAGCTTCTCTGACTTTCCTGGCTGTTGGTGGAAGTTGGGGCTGCTTTTGCGCACAAAACCCATTGTGCGTGTCAGGCCTTGTGTCAGCATCAAGGGCAAGTGATGAACAAAACAAACTTTTCTGTGTCGCTGCCCTGTAGGGCACATGCATTTTGCCCTCATCACACTGGTTACAAGTAAATAGGCACATTTTCCACACCTTTGATTCACCTTTGTCTCCCTAGATCCTAACGCAAAAACACTCAAATTTTCTTGGAGTGTTAAAATAAATACATAAGGAAGGGGCTCAGAGCAAGTCTTCTCAAAATGTGCCCCTTGTGCATGTGGACTGTTTTGAGCTGAAGGTAATTCAGACTACAAGGTCAAGAGAAACACATTTGCCCCTCAACTACCTAGAAGAATCTAAATGGGGATCTTTCTCAGAATGAGAATTATTACCAGAGATAACATTTTTTTTTTTTGACTCATCTGTATTGTAGGGCAAACATCTAATTATCAAATACCTGCTCTTCTTATTGCTGTGTGAATCCTACACCTCTCCTTTGAGGTGCCAGGCCCCTATCCCATCCTTAGCTCAGGTTGGCATATATACCTCATTTCACCTCTCTGGCTTTGAAGTGCTCATGTATGTGGGGTTCCCGTACAGAAAAAATCACATTTTATTTCCTCCTGTTAATCTGATCCATGTCAATTTAATTCTTAGCCCCGCCAGAAGAACTTTTGAAGGTAGAGGAAAATTTTCTTCTCCCTGATATTTACCTTGGTTTCTAAGCCTGAAAGCCGATTTCAATTTGGCAAGAGGAGTCACACTTGGAAGCTCGGAAGTGGACATATTCTGTAATGCAGGCACAAACTGCGAAGGCAGGGGTGGAGCCTTTTAGATTTTATAGTCCTATACTTAAGATTCAAAGTTGACATCATGTAATTACGCTAACACACTTAAAGATGTAGCACTGCCTTTCCAAGTCCCTGGGAAAGCAAGCTATTTGTTGTTAAAACATTAAAACTTTTACTAGGTTGTCAATATCAGAGTTCAACAGTCCCGTTGTAATTTTCTTTGATAGCTGTAATCAAAGTAGCATACATAATTATGAAGAAAGTTTAAATAGTCTTTTTTTTTTTTTTTTTAATTTGAGAGAGAGAGCATACAAGCAGGGGGAAGGGCAGAGAGAGAAGGGGAAGCAGACTCCCCAGTGAGCAGGGAGCCAGACATGGCACTTAATCACAGGGCCCAGGGATCATGACCCGAGCTGAAGGCAGGCACTCAACCAACTAAGCCACGCAGGTGCCCCTAAATAGTCTTTTTCCAATGAATGATAACTGAAAAAGGATTTTGGAGACCTTTTAGTCTAATGGGTTCATTTTAATATTGGAAAACGGAGATCCAGGGATCATAACTTGTTCAATGTCACATTGCCAGTTACTGAGATTCAAAAATAAGCCTCAGATAACTTGATTTTAAATTTAGTTTATCTCCAGGGTGCCTGTGTGGCTCAGTGGGTTAAGCCTCTGCCTTCAGCTTAGGTCATGATCTCAGGGTCCTGGGATCAAGCCCTGCATCAGGCTTTCTGCTTCCCTCTCCCTCTCTGCCTACTTGTGATTTCTCTCTCTGTCAAATAAATAAATAAAATCTTTTTAAAAAATTAGTTTATCTCCAATTATCTACTAATTCCCAAACTGTTCCCCCTCAAAATAAAATATTGCCCTGTCTTCATTAGCAGGGAGGAAAATCGGTGATTCTCAAACTGATGCGGCCCTAAGTTTTAATTTTTAACAAATATTTTATAGAGATCTTTATTACTTTGAAATGAAATGTACATATAAGCCAGTTATATACTTAATAAAAAAGAAAAATATGCCAAATTTTTAAGTCAGTTTCTAATTCAAAGACATATTTCAGCATCTAAAATGCCCATGGATCAATATACTGGAAAACAGAATAAGATATTCAGATACTTTTTTTTGCCTCTATGTAAAATTATAGAATCAGGATAAAAATGACAGGTACATTTTCTCTGAAAACAGAAATCATTTCAGCGAGTTAGAACACAAATATCAGGGTGTCTGGGTGGCTCAGTCGGTTAAGTATCAGACTCTTGATTTTGGCTCAGGTCATGATCTCAGGGTTGTGAGATTGAGCCCCATATCAGGCTCTGCACTGGGTGTGGAGCCTGCTTAAGTAAGATTCTTTCTTTCTCTCCCTCTGCGCCCTGCCAAAAAACAAAAACAAAAACAAAACCAACAACAACAAAAACCCACAAATATCTCATCAGATGGTTATTCAACTACCATACGTAGGTGTTGATGCTAGATAACTCTTGTTCAAGTCTCAATGCTAGATAGCTCTTGGTCAGGTGTCAATGCTGGATAACTCTTGGTCAGGTGTCAGTGCTAGATAACTTGGTCAAGTCCCAGTAGAACAAAGTACAATCTCCTGTTATTTACCTGGAAGTTTCATTCCTGAAAATCTGGCATGTATTGAAATGATAGGATACAAAACTGATTTTTTAAAAGACTTTATTTGAAGGAGAGAAAGGGAGAGAGAGAGCACAAGTAGGGGAAGGGACAGAGGGAGAAGGAGAAGCGAAATTCCTTGCCGAGCAAGGAGCTGTCACAGGACTTAATCCCAAGACCCTGGGATCATGACCAAGCCAAAGGCAGATGCTTAACTGAGTTACCCGGGTGCCCCATAACCCAACTGATTTTCTATGCAAACTAGAATTTGGTTCTCAGATCATTATAACAAGTTTACAGAGAGGCAGCCTTGCTTAGAAGTATTTCCCAAAGTGTGGTCCCAGAACCAATAGGACCAGCAGCAGCCACATCTTCTTGGAATTTGTAAAAAAGCAAATTCCTACTCTACCTCATAACCTACTGAATCAGGAAAATTCTGGGTAGGTCCCAGCAATCTGTGCTTTAACAATCCCCTTTCCAGGGTTCCTGATACAGCTATTTTTGCGAATCACTGGTTTAAACATTGGCAAGGACTCAAGTCACACTGCTTGAGAGGGAAGCCTGGCCTCTGCCTCTCACCAGATGTTTGATCTTGGAAGTTATTTTTACTTCTTTTTGTGCCTTGGTTTTCTCATCTATAAAATGCACATAATTGTGTTCCCTATCTGCCTCATCTGGTTTTGAGAAGACAAAATGAATAAATACAGATCTCTATGAAGATCTGACTGCATTTATTAGTGTGTTTATTTCTATTAGAAAACTTATCCCTCTTAATTAAAAATAGGCTCCACATCTTGTTCTCTATTGTAATCCTAGCACCCTGAATAATTTCTGGCACACAATAAGTTCTCAAATATATGTTGAATGACTAATACTATGATGGACATGAATGTACCTATATCTCATGGTAAAGAGCAAAAAGCGTCATGATTTCCAAGTTCCCTGCCTTGAGTGTAAGTTTGAAAGCCACTGTTCTGGAATGCATATTAAGATAATGAAAGATCTTAGAAGTAGAGAAGAAAAAACTTGACATATCGTTGTAGCATGTTATTTGGTTGCATGTACACCTCTGTCACTGGGAGTCATAATAATCATCTTAGTCATTTTATTTATGTAGGACTTTACATTGTACCAAGATAATTCGCATATATTAGGTCATTTAATTATCACACAATTGTATGAGGAGGATGTTATCTGAGACTCAGAGAATTTATTAGAGACCAACGCCCATAAAAGTGGAAGTAGAGAGGGAAGAGGAATAGGAGGGCAAAGCCTTGGATTTCACTCCCGTGAAAGGAAGGAAGGAAAGAGGGTTGTGGAGAGACTCAGGAATACAATTCTGAGATCCCCAGCTAGCACAGCAGAGATGAGCCAGACGTGGGCAGACATGGCCAGGCCCTAGTACCTGGGCTGCATTTAGTTGTCTGTCTTGACTGGAAAGCTGAGGTGGTTCCTGAAGTCATTAGAGGAGGAGGCTGTCAGCCAGCTGCCCTCTATGCAGGCTCTCTCTTAAAGAGACATGGAGCAGTGCTGAGCCATGGCACCTACAGTGGGGACCTTTGTTTGGAAGTAGGGTTGATCCATAAGCTTAAAGGTCTTGTCATGTCCTGTCATGTTCTGAGTATAGTTTCTGTCCTTTTGCTCTCCTAGGCAGATGGCAGAATGCCCTCTTGTGTCACCCCATGTTCCTGTGTTTATGATTCATTTCAATTATCTGTCTGCTTTTTCCACTAGAATCCACGTTCCTTGATAGCAGGACTCCATTATTTTTGTATGTCAAAGTTTTTGACAGAGCCTGGCCCATATTCACTCATTTATCCTCTCCATAAAATTTATGAAAGAAAGGGTGGATCCTATGCAGGAAGGAAGACATAAGAAGTAAGTAATTAGCTTTCTGTACATGAAAACAAGCTAATTAGAACTAACCCTTGCTGAAATAAGAGGGTTGCTAGGAATGCTGCACAGGTTGGCTGATTGCACTATAATATTTCTCCCACTTTTTGTTCTTAGGACCCCTTTGCATTCTTAAAGATTATGAAGACTCCAAAGAACTTTTGTGTGTATGGGTTATATCGGCAATATTTACCCTAGCAGAAACTGGAAGTAAAAAGTACTGACTTATTGGATAATAACAATAAAATAAAAGTAACACAATTCTAAAAATATATAGCTATATTATCAAAAACATGAAAAAAACAGGAGAGTAACATTGTTTTACCATTTCGCAAACTCGAACGCCTAGGTTAATGGAAAAGTGCTGGATTATCTGCTTCCACGTTGAGTATGTTGGGATAAGTCGTTCTGGTTGGAGAATATGAAGAACGCCCAGCATCATACAGGTGTGTAGTTGAAAAAAAGAACCTTACAGACTCCTAAAGAAGTCCCATGGGTTCCCACGAGTTCTTGGAGCATGTGCTGAGAACTTCTTCACTAGAATAATTGCATACTCTGAGATTCTCTCAAACGTGCATGTCCTTGGTCGTGAGGTGAATAGAGATGGGCAGGACGTGTGGTTTTCCAACCACAAATAACTGCAAGAATGGAGAAACTGCTTAAGCCATGTTTCCTACTGATTGGGGGTTACTAGTGTCATTTTTTTTTTATAAGAGGGGTGGTAATATTCTAAGTTTACTCAGTTAAGATGTAAAAATTGGAGGAGGACATCCTTGCATTTGATGGAATATGAGCTGATGAAGTTAGAAAGAGAATTATTGTGCTCTCTTTGTTATTTGAATAAAACACTCTATTTGTTTATATTTGAATAGCTTATCATAACTTGCATAGTACAGTCACATGTTACATAAATCTGATAGCAATCTTACAGATCTCATTAATCCCACTCTACAGATAAGGAAAATGGGGTTTAAGAAACAGAAGTCACTTTTCCGTAGTCACGCTGCTCGTGGGTATAGATAGGTCTTATAACCAACCGAAGACTTTCCTGCTTTCTGTTAGATTGCTGAAGTGCAATTTCAGAAGAGAAGTATGGTCTACTTATTGATGCCATCAGATATAAAATTAAGAGAAAGAAAGGTTCTACAAGTGAACTGGACAGAAGATGTATATGTTGAGGCAGCTATAGAACTGTAAGTTATGGAGAAAGTCTCTACCATTTGACCCTATTCTCACTTCACTATTCCTTCTGTGAAATAACGCAAGTTTTGGAAATGAAATTTTTAAGAAGAATTATTTTTACTGATAGACCAGACTAATCCTGTAGGTCACACAGAGTAAGAGCCAATTATGAATGTGTCCACTTTGTTCCCTTTCCACCAACATCACTCTGGTCCCATATGTCATCCTTTCTTGCTGAACAACCATGGTTAGCTTCTAATTTCATCCACTTTTTTCTTGAATGTAGTGTACAAGCCAAGAACCCAAGTGACATCTTTGACGCTTCCTTTTCGCACACCTTCCTTCTGATCAGCCAGTGTATCACACGGAGCCTACCCTCAGCACTGTGGTTTTTTAATAAATGTAAATCATATCAAGTTACTCCAAATATTGGAAAGCTGAATACTTCCTATAGGTTACCTTTCTATCATCTTTGATTAAAATTCTATAGGAAAGATCTGCATGAACTGTCCCCTATCTTTTTGTTCTTCCAGTTGTTCACTGTACTGGGAACTGTCACCCTCTGATCCTCAGACGCTCTAGCTTTCTTCTCTCTTCTTTACCTATGTACTCTGCTATCCTCTCTGCCTGAAATAACTTATCTACTCACTTGGCTGCTCATTCTCACATTGTCATTATGTGATGACATTGTCACTGATAAGTATTTTGCCTTCTCAGGAAGGCCTCCTCTACCCATGCTACCTGAAGCTGCCTTCTCCAGCTCTTCAGTTTTATTACTACATTTATTTCTAGGTAACACCTAAAATTGCTAAAAACTGCCTGTAATTATTGAATATTCTTGTTTATTATGTTTCTCCCCTACTCAAACGTAAGCTCCATGAGGCGTGGGACTTCTCCATCTTGTTCGCCATGGTATTTCCAACACGTGGTAGGTGCTTTGAACTTAAAAAAAAAAAAAAAAAAAAACTGCCAGTGTTTTACCAGCAAAGACAGGCTTATTCGGGAATAGCAGAGAACTCCAATCCAGGAAAGCAAGCTATGGCAGAAGCATAGGCAGGTCAGCAGTGCATAGGAGATAAATGCTCTTTTATAGAGGAAAGGGGGGAAGTTAGAGAGGTTGTTGGAAACACAAAGTCCACTGCAGTAAACTGGGAGTTGGAAGTATAGTGCCTTCTATTTAAGTTAATATACTTGTGTGGGTTAGTTTGGAAGTTGACCCTGCACGGCTCCACAACTGTTTGGTTTGCTCTCCTGAAGTGAAGTTACAAACACATGCTGGGCAATAGGAATGCTAACCCATGTCTTAGCATTTTATTTCAAAGTTTCATATTTTGATATGAGTTCCCTTTTTTGTATATTTTATCATTGACAAGGAAACATGAAATCAACCAAGGTGAATCCTAAAATAGCAAAACTGTATAGCTTTTGCATGGAGAGCATTATTCAGGTTTCAAGGTCAAGACTGTCCAGGTTGATGGGTTTCAAGGTGAAGACTGTCCATTACTCCAAATAGAGAAAGAAATCCCTTTTCTAAGAATCAGATAACTTACCCAAATGATGATATGAGAACATTTAAAGTATTTCATTTTAGTAAGTTGAAAATAAATTGACATTATTTATCATGACTTTTTATTAAAGTTCACATAATCAAGCTGATTTATGCATTCCTCTTTTTAAACATTTAGTACCCTTAGAATTTAAATATATATATATTATATATATATATATATATATATATATATAATGTATATATATAAATTTATATATAAATAACTTTAGTGTGGGTACAATTTAGGTAACAACTCTGAGGAAAAATGACCTCAAATTTATCATCATTTTATTTGTTCTGTAGGGGCAGAAAACTTCTCTGTTCTTCCTTTCTTTGGATAGTTTAATAATTAAATTGATATAACACAGATTGACAGGAGAAAGAGAAACAGAAGTTTCCTAACATGTATGCCTACTGTATACATAGGAGAGACCCCATGAGACTGGACACCTCATTCCTGGGCCTGCTATGAATGCATAAGCAGAATTATAGTTCTGTTAGTTGCATTATTAACTTAGCTCCACATTTGTTTGGTTCCCTACTTAATTATACTTTACACACCTCTTATCATTAAATTTGCCTTATCCACTCCTACCCCATGTTTACCCACTGATTGTAGAAACTTAATAGGAACCTGACAGTAACATTTCTTTTGAAATTAATGGACATACCTGATGTACCAGTTCCCAAAAGGCACCTCACTGTCTGAAAGAATGCATACCTCCAGATTGTTTCAAGCCCCCCATTCTCCTAAAGTTTTCAAGAAGCCCTTCACCCTCTTCTCCTGTATTCATTTCCTTTGCAAATTTATAAGCTGTCCCTAGGCTCAACAGGACAAGACAGCTTTGGGAATGAGCCCTTGCCTTCTCGTTGGGCTGTCCTTCTGATAATAAAGCTTTCTTTGCTTCGAAACAGTTGTTTCAGACATTAGCTTACTGCCCATTGGATGCATAGACAAGTTTGAGTCTTATAACACCAGGAAAACTGAGTACCTCTCCAAAATGGCCAAAGCCATCACCTTAAATACCATTTTCAGCTGAAGACAAAAGATATTCACGATGGGGAGTCAGTGATAGAAGGTTACTAGGAAAAGCACAGTAAACAAGAGTAAGATTGTAATGGAGATTTAAGTCCCTGCCATCTCCATTGATAACAGTTTCTAGAGATGTAGAGTCATCCCCATCTTCCTGGTACCAATGGAGATTTCCCTTGTTAACTTCTCCTCTAACTTCCACTGGGTTTTCAGAACTTTACCTTTATCTGCTGTTTCTTAAAAATGGCCAGCTTAAAATAATCGATAGGCCAAAGAGGCATATTTTGGGGGAGGTATAATTTGTTCTCCTTCAGTTGCTACTGCTGATTTTTGTTCCTTATATTTAACCATATTTATCATATTATGTAATGAAATAGAAAATTCAATAAATTTTGTTTAAAATTACACCAAGTACATTTTGTTATTGTGCTACAAAGTTTCTTCCCCACTTCCACCCCTTTTCCTTTTCCTTCTCATCCTCACCCTGCCATGCAAGGTAGTCTGTGTTTACTTCCTGGTGAGTCTGCTCCCAGATCTTTTACTAAACTTACCAGCCATTTACAAACATGCATAAGAAGCAGGGCCCATGATTATAAAGCCACAGATTCTAGATCCTGAATGCCATGGTTTGAATCCTGGCACCACCTCTTACTCTCTTGTGTGCCTTTCGGGAAGCTACCTTCTCTGACTCGGTTTTTACCTTAAAACTGGATCATAGTAGTATCTACGTCACAGGGTTGTAGTGAAGTTTTGAATGAGTGAAAATGTGAAATGCGTTTAATAATGCTGTCACAGAATAAGCATTATAGACGTGCTAGGTGAGTATGGATTTTGAGGTTTATTTTTATGGCATAGAAGCAGACTGGATATATTTCTCCTCAATCCGATTTCATTTTTTAATAAATTTTTTTTATTCTTGAGGCCTGAGTTGGTCTCTGGCCTGGGTATGGAGCCTGCTTAAGAGTCTCTCTCCTCCCCGTCCCCTACCTGCTTGCACACGTGCATGCCTGCTCTCAAAAAATTTTGTTTTTCATTCTTAAAAATGAACTACAGAATCTCTCCACATCAAGAAATTGAGTTTGTTTAAGGAAAATGGAGGCATGGTACTTAAGGCATATAACAAACCAATGTAACTGTTATTTAATGGGCAGTTGGGTTGTTTTTAGGTATTTTAGCATTATTACTTTTTTACCATTGCAAAACATGCTGCAGTAGGAATTTTTGAACATAAATCCTTCCTACAGCTGCCTTTCTTTCTTCTTTCCTTCTTTCTTTTTCTTTCTTTAGCTGCTTTTATTTCTGTACGAAAGTGACAGCAACTCATTGCTGGGTCAAATAGATACTGCAGCACTGAATGTCCAGGAGAGCCCCAGCATATAGGACTTCTCCCAGTGTTGCCAGTTAGACCCCAAGATCTGACCTTTACTGCCCGTCTGTTTGTACCCACTGATCCTGTCACATTTTCCCTTAATCTCTTCTTTGTAGCTTATTTCTTAACTCAAGCAAAAGACCTGTTAGCCATCCCCTGATGGAAACCAGCAAGACCACCCCTCAAGCAATCATGACTACTCTTGAGGAAGAGCTCTGGAGGCCCCGATCACCCCGGGCAGTTTGTGCTCAACCCCCAACTCACACCTGCTCCGTAGGTCCCTGGAGTGACTCATGGAGTGCCCAGCACTTACTTTTACCTCATTATAATCCTAAAATCTCTACCCAGGAGGAACACAAACCTCATTTACATAATATACAATGCAGGTACAGGCATGTTTCCTTAAGATGCTTGCATCACTGATGTCTGACTCTGTATATGATGACCAGGCTTCCTGTTCTAAATATCCATCCTACTCCTAAATAAAAGGAACCCATTCACAGGGAATCTTGGCTTTTGAAGTTATTCCTTGTGATCTCCTTATCTGCTGCAGATAACCTTTGCTTTGTGTGACAGTCCCACCTACCATAGTTTCTGTGATTCACCAAGGAGCAAACTCAAGTTCATTCAGTGACACCAGCAACATCAGAGAATCATCCCCCCTCCCGTGCCTGGCCTGCTCCTTGCAAACTTCCTCTCCTCCCTGAGTTATAAATCTTTTAAATTGTTTTAAATGTAAATATTTTAAGCTGTTTTAAATTGGTTGAAGTACTTAACATAATTATTATTTAATTTTAACTGTGTATCTCTGAAACACACCTAAGGTGTGTTTTTGTATATTGTGTGATATAGGAGTTCAGTTGTCTTTTCATTCAGGCAACGGTACCAATGCTTTATTAAATCTTATTACCTCTAAATTTAAACACCGAATTTTAATATAGTCAATTCCCATAAACAATAGAATGTTTTGTTTTATTTTGTCTTACCGATTGACTTTAAAACAAGTTTGTTCCTTATTCTTCATTTTCATATTTTCAGCTTTCTCAGGCATTTTCCCTCCTCCGTAATGAATTTTAAGAGCACTTTATTTGTTTTAACATTTTTTTGCCACCTTCAAAATTCTATGTTTTGCAACCCATCACCCTTGGTTTACTTGTTTGTTTGTTTTCTTAATGGAGCATTCAATGGATATTATTTTATTTTTTAAGTTTTTATTTTAATTCCAGTTAGTTAACATATAGTGTTATATTAGTTTCAGGTTCTCAATATCATGATTCAACAATTCCATACATCACCCTGTGCTCATGAGGACAAGTGCGCTTGTTAATCACTAACACCTATTTCCACTATCCAACCCCCCTTCTGGTAACCATCAGTATGTTCTCTTTAGTAGAGTCTGTTTCCTGATTTCTCTCTTTCTCTTTGAGTATTATTTTGTCTCATTTTAAAATTTTTTATTTAGAGAAAGAGAGAGTGGGGCGGGGTGCAGAGGGAGAGGGAGAGAGAGAATCTTAAGCAGGCTCCATGCCCATCACAGAGCCCAACTTGGGGCTTGATTTCATGACCCCAAGATCATGACCTGAGCCTAAATCAAGAGTCAGATGCTTAACCAAACTACCCAGGCAACCTTGAGTATTATTTTAAAAGAATTAACTTCGTATTTATTCATCTACCATAATATTCTTTGGGTTTCCTTTTTCTTTCTTTTTCAATTTGAGGATCTACTTGGCTTTATTAAATGGTATACAAATTGGGTAGCATCACATCTAGCCAGTAGAAGGAAGCTCTGAGAAGTTGTACAAAATAGGAGGTTTTTATAAAGGAGGATGGGGCAAGAAAATTATTAGCAAAAGGAAAAGATTGTTCCAGGCAAGATTTTTGTTTGCTTTGGTTAAATGTCAAAATAAACTCTTATTTTACCAGCAAAATATGGGTTTATTTGGGAATAACAAAGAACTAAGATCTAAGACCAGCAAGCTATAGCAAAAAACATAGGCAAGTCTGCAGAACAGAGAAAAGATATGCTCTTTTATAGGGAAAAGCAGGAAGTTGGGAAAGTTGTTATAAATAAAAGGTCCACTGGGATAAACGGGGAGTTGGAAGTATAGTGGCTTCTCTTTGGCTAAACTGTGGCCTTCTTTTATTGGCTGAGCTGTTGCCTGGAGAAGAAGTAAGACTTTCTTCTTCCTTCTGGGATAGTAAAGTAGTACCCATGAGTAAGGTCCCTGTCTTCCTGTTGGATTTGCCATTGATGAAGAGTGGTAGGCATAAGAGGTCCCCTGCCAAACCTCCCTACTCCATTTTGATGAGGTTTCCCTTAATTAATTTTCACATTTCCCCATTTTGATCAAGATCTTTCTTTTAAAAGTATTGCTGATTAATAGTTGGATTGTTTATATTTAGTGATTTTGCCCCTCAGTTCAAGGAAGGACCTTTTCTTGGTTGTCATATCCTCTGTTAGAAGGAAGTATTTAGTAATTAGAAGCCAGTTAAGGTCATATTTGAATAACCAGAAAGGTTAGGAGGGAGAAACTCTGAGATATTCTAGTCTAAAGTCTACATCTTCTCAAGGTTTTAAGTGTTGGAGATCATTTTGAAGCCTTGAGCCAACCTCACCTCATTGAGTACTTTTTTTTTTAAGTTCAACAGTCAACAAAATACAAAATTTAAAATCATTATACAAAATAGACAAAGTAACATAACAATTCCAAATTGTATGATAGTTCTTAACCAGGACTCTAGGTCTGAAAGTAGCCAGCTCATATATTTATTGGCACTTATACCAACTTAGGGGAGAAAGGATCTCCTTATGAAGGCAAACCTGGGGTCTCTCTGTCTAGAAGTCTCTGCTTAAAGCAACCATGAAAGCAGATGAGTGGATACAGCAAGAGCACACAGAAAGAATTAACGGACTGCATTTGGGAAGGTACAGCACAGGTATAAACATGAAGCAGTAGCTGATAAACCTTGCTGCAAAACAGCAAAACTTCAAAGAATCTTTTAAAACAACTTTGCCATCTCAGAGGTGTCTGGGTGGCTCAGTCAGTTAAGCATCAGACTCTTGATTTTGGTTCAGGTCATGATCTTAGGACTGTAAGATCAAGCCCTGTGTCAGGCTCTGTGAGAGTTTGCTTGAGATTCTCTTTCTCACCCTCTGCCCTTCCTGATGCTCATTATCCAAATAAATAAATAAAATCTAAAAAACAAAGCAAAACAAAACAGTATTGTTATCTGAGAAGAACTGTTTGGAACCAATTGTGTTATTGATAATACAGCTTGTAAGATTGCGAATTCAGAGACCATGAATTTGGATATGCTTCCAAAGTCAGTTAATAGTTCAGATGAAAGATGACTTGGGTGAATTCTGAACCTTCTAACCCTTCAGAAAAAGCAAGTAAAAAATTAACTTGTCCTGAGTTCATGATTGAGGCTATTTGAAAACAAGAGCCGCCCACCCCCACCCCTTCACAAGGGTTTGGGAAATGCAAACAAGAGGCTTCTCTTTCGAAGAAACAGAGAAGCAGCAACAATGAGAAAAAGGTATACAGGCCTGCTCTGGACATTTTGGGAAAAGTCTTTCATCAGATGTCATCTGCTCCAATTCCAGGAGGTCTTCACTTTCAGGTCAGGAGCTGGTGGGCGGCTCCAGTCAGGGTTTGGTGCTATCTTTAGATTTGCCCCGTGAACCCAAGAATCTGTTTCCTGGAGTTGACAGGCAAAGCGGTTGGTTTGCAGTTCTTCATAAGGGCCTTTTCAGTGAGGTTGCAGAGAATGTTTCTGGAGGTGTCTATTCCAATAGATGAAGTCTCCACTTTGCCAGGTGTGATGTTAAGGTCATTGTCTCACGGCAGTGCACTGTGAAAAGACCTTTCTACCAAAGCACGATTATTTCTAATAGAAACGATGAGGAATTTGTGCCGTGGAAGTAGATCTCCTTTTATCAGCTGTGGTTCAAAGGAGGCAGGGGCCAAATGCATTAGATGGCCTGTGACTATCTCAAAAGCTAGGAGTCTTATGAGTTCCCAAGGGGGTAGATCTGAAATTAAGAAGGACTAACAAGAGGCGCCTGGGTGGCTCAGTGGGTTAAGCCTCTGCCTTCAGCTCAGGTCATGGTCTCAGGGTTCTGGGATCGAGCCCCGAATCAGGCTCTCTGCTCAGCGGGGAGCCTGCTTCCCACTCACTCTCTGCTTGCCTGCCTCTCTGCCTACTTGTGATCTCTCTCTCTGTCAAATGAATAAATAAAATCTTAAAAAAAAAAAAGACTAATGAGAAAATGTTGTCAGTGGAGTCTTAATACTGTCATTAGTGAGTGTACCTAACTCTGAAGATTAAGGATGTTATGTATGTTGAAATATTACAAAAATTTGCCCAACAACACAGATTTCTTGAAGAACTTGACTGGTAAAGGGGTTCCCCACTTTTGAGAGGCATTTCCTAGGTAAGAATAATCTTTTCAAACAGAATTTTAGCCACAGGAAGTATTGATCTGTCTACAAGGGAAAGCTTTGGTCCAATAAAAAGGAAACACAAAAATGACTAAAACATTTATATCCATGATATTGGAAAAGGTATATGAAATCCATTTACCAAACCTAAAATGATCCATTGTTTAATTTAAAATGTTCACAAGTGGTTCCCAGGATTATACCTGATTAAGTGGGACAAGCAAGATAGGCACTTTTTGTGACCTTCTCAAATTTCTCCACCAATACTGGTTCCTAAGCATGATCATTTTTCAGTAGAAAAATGGTTTAATGTATGTACAGTGGTTAAGTAGTGGGAATTTTAGGATTTCCGAGAGGTCTGGGTTGTTATTTGGCCCAAACCCGAGTTCTCTTTTTATTGAGGCAACAGTTACTAGATTGCCAATATTGTTTCTCCCACCCTGGGGCCTATTTTTCAATGTCTTTTGTCAATTTTACCAAATTCTCATTTGGGAGAAGATCTCTTTGGGCCATGACAGAAGTTTGGCTATTAGTTTCCTTGACAGGAAGCATTTTTGGTGGAAATATCAGTGAGGTGGATTAGGTCTCCAGGGACTGCCTGGAAACCTTAATAACCAGAGAAGCCAACAAGAAAATGGCTTCTAATGTATTTTGGATATAGGAGCCATTTTGAATTTTATCCTCCTTGGAGGTAAACACATCTCGCAGTTTCCCTAATACTCCAATGTCAGGAGCTACCCCAAATGTATACCAACTGTCAGCAAAAATGTTTGCTATTTTACCCTTTGATGTATAATTCAGCATTTTGGGCTGAAGTACCAAAAGTAAAGGAGCTGTCTCAATGACTTCATAAGACTTAAAATAGCATATCCAGTATAATATTTACCATGTTTGTCATTTAAGTAAGACGCATCAGTAAAGCATGAAAGATCTGCATTAGTGGGTGCCTGGGTAGCTCAGTTGGTTAAGTGATGGCCTTCGGCTCAGGTCATGATCCTGGAATCCCAGGGTCCAGTTCCACATAGGGCTCTCTGCTCAGCAGGGAGTCTGCTTCTCCCTCTGACCGTTCCCCCTCTCGTGCTCTCTCTCAAATAAATAAATGAAATCGAAAAAAAAAAAAAGATCTGCATTATTAGAAGAGTTTCTCTGTAATTGTCACAGAGAGTCAAAAGGTGAGCTGTCAGTATTAAGTAGCCATGAGGGGTTTTGTC